TAGCAAGCGGATTTCTGCAAGCGCAATGCTCGTTAATGCGAAATTAATCCGCGAAAAGCAACATTTGCAGGGAGTTGCAAAAAAGTTAAGTGCAAATTATGTAATCGGCTAAAAGCCGGATTGACGGGGGGAAAGCAAATTAAGCGGAGATTACGCCAGAGGAACGCAGGGGGCTAAGTGCGCCAAAACTAAAAAATACAACAACAAAAACCTAGGTAGCAATCTCAACAACAAATGTAAATCCCAAAAGCAATTCAGCGCTCAACACCGTTTGCCACAACGCCGCGCGCGCAGGTGCAGCAAGAGCCGTCGCTGCTGTTGACGATGCCACGACGACTGTCCAACTGCCTGACTGACTTACTGACATCAAAGTTAATGCAAACGCGAACGCGAAAAGCCGACTGCATGCAATGATTTGATGCGCAAATAAGTGAGCCGCGCGGATGGTAGATTGTCTGCGGAGAGGGACGCGCTGGCGTCAGCGCAGCAGCAGCGGCTTGGTGACTGTGGTTTTTCGTGCAAAACTTTTCGTTTGTGGTGCATTGATGAGTGTGTGTGTGTGTGTCTGTCATCAGCAGATGATTGCGGTACACAGCCGGCGGCAGCAGCTTTGGCAGTTCATAGGCGCGCATGCACTACTACATGCATATGCTTATGCATCCCCGTATGTGTGCGTGTGTAGTTCGTTTGAATTGCAGGTTTTTGACGAATTTTGTCTCTTTCACTGGGAATGTTGTGTTTTGTGCGCTGTAAATTCACCGCAATTGCTCTTGCGGTTTAGTTGGTCTGCGGTGTTGATTGCAGCGGCAGCAGCACCAGGGCGCAGTAACTGTGGTTTAATAACGCTAATGTCATTTCAATTAAATTGACAAAGAATGATTAAATGTTTATAAACACACTTATACATATATTTCTATATTTCTATATGAGTATATACGTATGTACATATATATACATGTGTGTGATTTGCCCGCCTAATTGATTAATTGACTGACTGCCTGACAGACTAACTGAATTTTTGCTTTGCTGTCACTCGGCTGAAATGCCCGAAATGACAGCCAACTGTCTAACCAACTCGCACCGGCTGACCAACTGACTGACTTGCTGATTGTTCGCGTGACTGCAATTCCATTTAAACGTTGGTGTTAATGATCGCCTCCGCGTTTGATTATCCCAGCGCGCACACACACTGAGACATACATATAAGTATATGTATATACAAATATGGTTTGGTGTATAGCGGTTTTCATGTTTTTGTATGAATGTGTGCGCGCGTGTGGGATTTTTTTATTGAATTCCAAATGAATGGCATTGCAAATCGCCAGCTGCAACTGCACTTTTAATTAAACCTTTTCGCACTAGCCATTAAAAAGCCAATGCGACTCTTTGTGAGACCATACGTCGGATGTGTGTGTGAGCATACATACATATGTACACATACATATATGCATGTGTGTTTAGTTTTGATGATTTATTTCGCCTACTATTTGCAATTTAATTAAATTATCAATGTTTTGAGATTAAATTTTAAATTTAATAAATAATAGTTTCAGTGACGTGCCGGCGTTTGATTGGTGTTTTATATAAATTATATAAAAAAGAGTGTTTCCTTTTTCTCTTTTTTTTGTGTTTTTATGCTCTATAGATAGGCATTAACGTTTAACAATGAATATCTCGTAAACGCTCAACTTAATTGAAAAGTTATGAAAACCATTTTTGCAGAGCAGAAAATTTTCTACAAGACTAAGAGATTCGCAATTTGAAAAGATTTTTTTTACTGTGTTATAAAACTCAAAAGAAAAAAACAAATTTGCCTTAGAAGAGTCAAACTTCAACCCGTAATATCATTTAAAGGGTTAGGTTTACGAAAAACCCGTAAGCACCCTAATATGTAGAGCATTCAATTTGCCTACAAAATCTATGTAACGAAATATTTTTTCAAGTATTTGGATGCGATATATGAATTCTTCTATCTGGTAATAACAAAACAATAGAAAACCGTTATTCCGCGGATTTCCCTTTACCATTAAGAGATCATAATTGGAGAGCCGTTCTTAGAGGTGTTTATCAACCAATTTTTCAGAGTACGAAACGAAAAAAAAAAATTTGGGTTTCCGACCCACCCTACAAGTAATGCACATATGTACATATTTTTCAAAAAAATAGTTGTTTTCTTTGAAATAAATAATATACATTTTTTTTAAATTGTAATGCAGTTTTTTGTTTCCAGCATTAGTTTTGATATAAGCAAATGAATTAAAAAATTATAAATATTTGTTTTAAATTAAAATTTTTTTTTTGTTAGATTTTCTAAAAATAATATTTTTTCTAACAAGATGTTATTTCGCACAGTGTCTTTTCACACACTCATCCCAACACTTGCCACTTTCATTGTTTGACAGCACGAATATTGTATAATTTACACATGCAGGCACACATATGTACATACATATAAACAAAAAAATATACAATATGTAAGTTAACAGCAACCGTTAAGTGATCAACAAGCTCAACAACACTGTATTTATGCAGAACTGGCTTGCATAATCCAGCCGCAGCTGCTCTCAGCAAATGAAGGAGAGGAGGGCATGGCGTGGAAAATGGTGACAGCAGCGTTGATGTGCCTTAGTCGGTCATAAAGACGAGCTTTTGACATTCTCAGAATTTTGAATTTTTGTTGCTGACATTGTGGAAAATAAAAAAATCGAAAAATATACATTTCAAAAATTGTACACATACATATGTATGTATGTATATATATATAAACATAAATACATATTATTAATCTCGCGTAATTTACTTTATAATTTATTCATTATATATTCACCACAAAGAGTTCAGTAATAATTTATAAGCATAAATTCTTAACTGAAAACTTAATAGTCTGAAAAAAACTAGTTCGACACTACTACATTCCGTGCGAAAAATGTACTAGTTCAAAATGACTAGACTTGTACCAATAGTAAAAAGTTTTTTATGAATCACTGACTTTATTCTCACTTAACACCAACTTTATTTTAGCAATAAGTCAGGAGCTCGGGTATACCAGTTGCTTTTTTGAAATTAAGATACTCGACTTACTAGTTGAGATTGGGTTGATAGGACCCCCTACTTCTACTTCATTTAACCGTTGAGTTCATATGAAAATAATATTATGAAATAGTAATAAAGGCAGTTCGAGCTTAGTATAATACAAAACAGATTAAAAATATACATCAAAAAGCATATTAAAACCAAGTTACTTAACCACTGAAGAGTCTTCTCCAAACAACAGTAAACTCCATTAGAACATATATAAGTAGGTATATATTTACACATTTAATATGCCATTTGCTCTTTCTTTTTTTTACAGGTATGTATTTACTCAATAGTGTTTACATACGCACATGTAGGTATATACATATGTACATATGTGCTTCAAGAACGGTTCGAAAAGCATTTCAAGTCGCTGGCTGACAACTGTTGACGTTGTTGATGAAAATTTACCGTTTCTTGTTAACTTTTTCATTGTTTTTGCAGCAGCTGTGTTTCCTATTTCTTTTGTATCTTTCAGAATACTGAAACAATAAAAACTAAGAAAAATAAACCTTGTATAGAGACGAAGAAAAGTATAACAGCTGCTTTGAGTTGACTTAGACCAAATATAAAGCAAACATACAGCTTTTTCCAGCTTATTAGAAACGATAATCGCTGTGTGATTGTAATAGTATATACTTAAGATGCTGTGGTATAATACTATTAATAACTCTAAGCTTAAGAGCCCAATTAGCAATATGTTTTCGTGCAAGAGCTACCAGCGTTTCAAAAGAGTTTACTGAAATATCGAGGAACCTACGAAGGCTAGGACAGTCTCAGTATTAATTTAACACTTTTTCACTGAACGAATGATCTCGACTCTGTGCCTTTTTATTATAATTTTTGATATGATTAGAGGTCAACAATGATAATTTGACTAATATTATTCACATTCTATAAAAAAATTTCAAATATAAATATTCTCTCAGAACCGACATTCGTTGAGTTGAGGTTGAAATCACTGACTATTATCTGTTTAGGCATTGATGAATATATTTCTGCAAAAATAATACTTCTTACAGCAATTCATTACCATGTTTTTTATGATCAGATAAGTAAGTTATTAGTAATAAATTAAGGCATTAAATCGATGAGTGCCATTTCGGATATTGATTAGTTTAAAAAATAATAAAATTTCCGAAAATGTCGCAAATTTCAACGAGGATTTGAAAAGATGTATGCCATCATGATATTCTTCGCGAAAATGCTTGAAACAGCAGCTTAATTTATTCAATTAGTGTTAATTTTTGTAGATTATTTGTTAATTGACTTAATTAAGTAGCTATTTTAAGTTTCGTTGACAAATTCAGGGCCATTTGAAGCTTATCTATACGAATGCTACATATTTTAATGAAAACAAGTTTTTTAAAATTTTTTTATTTTTACATATATAATATATATTTTTTTTCGGTATATGCACTCCTTTTTTTGAGTTAGAAAATGCTTTCACTCGATAAATGTGCAATTTAGGCTTAATTGAACGTTAAGTGAGCCATATATTATATTTTCAACAAAAATTAAATAGATTTTTGAGTTTTTGATTTTTAAGTATATTATATATGTATGTAACTATTTTTATTTAATAAATATGACAAAAATGTTGGCATTTATAGAATAAGTGCACCAACACACATACACCGAAACCACTGAATCAACTAGCTCAATTAGAAGGGTATTTTTTTGTCTTCATTAACGCGAGCAATATTCATTCATTTATATAATTTACTTCAACTAGTTAGCGTCTATAATAAAATCATATAGCTGCTAATACCAAATAAGCCACGAGTATACAAGAATGCAAGCTCCACCTTTAAGCCACCATTAAATTAAAGTTTCCAACGAGTAAATTAAATTGCAATAAAGCAAATAACTGCTATAAATAATTCAATACTAACTGCTACCAATTTTGTCTTTTACAATTGCAGATCAAGCGACTTTCAAAAAACAACTTAATTAACAACAACAACAAAATATAAGCCAGCAACAACCACGTTACAACGAGTTGAGCGACGCTGCCGCTATATATGAAATATTTAAATGAGCTGCAACAACAACGGCATACAGTTATAGCGACACCGCACATATCGAACACATGCCATGATTACCAGAATACAAGCAGCAGCAACTAGAGTAATAACAAGAACACCTATATGTAACGGATCTAAGTCAAGAGCAATGCAACATCACACGAAAACAGCAAATTCAACGACCACAATAACAACAACAATAGCTGGTCAGCTGCAAAAACACATGACAGCACACACGATGGACGCTACGACGACGAGGACAAGGCGCGCTGCAACAACATTGCGCCGTTGTAGTATGGCCGCTTTGCAGGTGTTGGTGCTGGTCTGCGCCTTGCCACCGCCCTTGCAACCGTTGCGCTCGACGACGCAGCGGTGGGCGGGCGCCGTCGAGGCGTTGCCGATTACCTCGAAGCCCATCGAGGGCACTGCTGAAAATCTTGCCTGGCAGGCGTGGCTCATGTTGCCACCCGAACAGAAGCAGTTGGAGAAATCGCGAAAAGTAACACCGAAATCGATATTTTCGCTGCCGTTTCGCGACTGTCCGCCCGGCCATCAACTCTTCCAGTCACGTTGCATACCAACCGTGAACATCAATCAGAGTGACTTGCTGACACAGCAGGTATTGGGCTTGTTTGGCGGCAGTGTTGGGGGCGCAACAGGCGCTGACAATGCATACGAAATCGATTACGGTGACGAGGAGTACGATTTGGGTTTGGGTGAAGGCGAACCGGTGATGATGTACGAAGCGCCGCAGCCCTTCAACGGTGGCCTTGTGGTGGGCGCGAGCAATACACAGCAACCGCCAGCGCGTGATGAGCCGTTGAAATTCAATCTGTTTGAGCAAAAATTTCCAACCAACGATTATGAAGCGGATATGAGCAGTGGTGCGATGGAGGGCAGTGGTAGCGCGCGGCCATTGACTGAATTGTTGGCCGCGAATGGTTCGGAAGGTGAGCGCGTTGGTGTGGCCGACAATGACAATGATGCTGGCGCAACATTTTTCAATTCAACACAGTTTTTAGATGCGGTGCAAGGATTTTTTCAGCGCAATGTTGTAGCTTCGCAGAACGAAAGCAATGCAACAACGACAGCGGTGGCGGGAAGTAATGCTAACATCACAGACCACAATACTCGCGCAGTAAATGGCAGCCAAGTGCTGGCTGATTTGTCTGCGGACGGCAGCAATGTGCCGGCATTCGCAGACGGCGATATCGATGCGATTATATTGCCAGCCGTGGGCGCAGGCACTACCGTGAAAACGTTTAGTGGTTATGCTGGCGACCTTGAACCGCAGCGCATATCACTGTTCAAGGATGACAGCAGTGTACACCTGGTTACAACGGTAATTGCGCAGCCAGCCAAAGATGAACGCGCAGGCGGCGAAGACGCGGATGCTGGCGACTTGGTGGCAGCGGCGCAACAACAAGAACACAGCATAGCACAATTTTTACGCGCCGATGCGCTCTTGCCCTTGAGCAGTGTTGCGCCTTATATTACCACAACATCAACAACAACAGCAACTACTCCAAATACACATGATGCCGGTCATGCACCAAAAACGTCGTCAATGCGCGCCAAAGATGAACACCCACGCAGCGTGACGCCGCATAAGGCGTCAACTGCCGCAAACAATACCGACGCGCAGGAAACTAGTTTCATAACCACAACCGAGCCGGAGGGCACTACAAACTTTCAAATCGACGAAACTACTGTGATAGAGGCGCAAGATGCTGACGCTTTGGCAGCGGAGAGTAACCTCTCGCTTTTGCAGGCGATTTCGCAACAACAACAAATTGAGCTTGGAAAATCAAAAGCTACGGCTGTTGAAGATGTGCCGTCTACCACGCTGGTGACGGGCGTAGTCCACGATAAGACAGAAGTTGCTGGTGACAACACAACAACGCAAACTGCGACAATAATCTACGAAACAAGCGAAACAACAACAACAGTACAAAATGCGGCCGAAGAGAGCGCAGACACAGCAGATACGACAACACAACCGTTACCCAGTGCTGCCACAGTGTCATCCGCAACAACTACACCGCAAGCTGCCTCAGCCAGCACGCTAAGCACATACCGGTTTCGCAACACACCCACCGTCGCCACCGCAGCCATCACTCCCATCCAGATACCTGCGCGAGGCAGCGCTGCGTATGAACAAGTCCCAATTCTTGTCACCACCGTCGTACCGCAGACTGTGGAGATGCTTTCGGGTGAAGAGGCGACGACGCGTGTCAGCGCCGGCAGTGCGATCATGAGTGATGTGCCGAGTAGTGGCAGCGACACCGACGGCGATTTAGTGAATGTTGTCGCGGCCAGCAGCAACAGCGACACCGATAATGACAGCAATAAGTATAAAAATGCACCGGCGCGCTCTGAGCCTGCGGAGGCCGCGTCAGTAACGCGTGATGTAAATATCGCGCAAGAATTGCGAATGATTAATGAATTGGTGAAGGGCAATCGACAGGCGACCGCGACAAAAATGGCAGCTACAAAGACAACAGAAACTGCAGCAGCAACAATACAAAGTACAACCATTTCAATGCTGGCAACCGCAAACGCGCCCGATTCGGAGGTGCAGCAGTCTGCAAGCGCGGCAGAGAGTGATCAGCAAGCGAGCGCGAGCGGTGCGGAAGCGGTTGAGGTGCGACAAGACGTTGACGGCGCGACTACAACAACAACAGAAACTGCTACACAAGTGCCTGATACGTCTACATTGAACAAGTCTTCGTTGCCTGCGGACAGTGGTAGCGCAATCATTGCAACAACAACAGCAACCACGCAATCACTCTCGTTGACTAAAATGGAAAGTGCAAATCAACGCGCCGAGTCTTCTACAGCAGATAACGCGCAACTTAGCGAAACATCAAGCAAGAAGCGCGTCGAAGTTGAGATTCACACGAGCGCCAAACCCGACTTTGAGACCGAGGCTACGGCGACAGACACTGAATTTATGGCCGCCACAACGCTGTGGTCGCGGATTATGCCCATCTTTGGTTTTGGTGGCAGCGCCGTCGATGCAGAAGCAGATGCACCGGCAACGACAACAACAACCACAACAACAGCCGTCGCAGAGAGCACACCAATTGGTAGTATTAGTAGTAATAGTAGCAGTATCAGTAGTAGTAGTAGTAAAAGTAAAAATAGTTTAAGTGTAAAAAGCAGCAGTATGGAGAAAAACAACAATAACAACAATATAATTAATAACAGCAAAAGCGATTTCGATACGCCCAGCCGTCGAAATAGCAAAATTATACGAATCGATCACTTTAGTGATAATAGCGTAGCGGCAGCAACAGCAGCAACAACAACAAACACATTGGAAGATACAGCAGCTACAATAACAAAAACAACAGATGACTTCGTAATTGTGCCGGAAGAGCACGAACCCATAGAACAGTCGGCCTACTGGTGGTTGCCCGCCAATTGGCGTCTCAATCGCGACACGACCGAAGAGCAACCGCTGCTCTTCCGCTTGTGGTCCGCCTTTCCTGAAAGCCAAATGAAAACCAAAGTTAGAACATAATTATCCCAGTTTGTTGCCTCCCACAGCAATGTCCACCCGAATGTCTCGCATGTACGTACGAAAAAAGGGAAATTGTGTAAGGAAATTGGCGAAAAGGGAAATTGGGCTCAGTCAAATTTTTAAATGCCTCGGAGCTTTAAAAGCTCTCAAAATTTGGAGTCGTGTGAACACGGGCCGAGCTGACATTAAATGGGGCGGGGTTAGTTTTTCCCTAGAGCACTCGTACAAATTACATACACAAACCGCTAGAAAAACAACAACAATAACAAAGAAATAATTAACTTAACGCTTAGTGAAATAGAGACCAATGCAATGAACGTGAAAAAATAGAAAATTTTTTAATAGTTAATTACAATTAAACTTGTAGTAGATAAATTTTACGAGAGCGCGCGGGGAAGAGGTGTTAAATACGGATATGGGAAGTAGGCAGCGCTAAAGAATATGCGCAGAGGTTGAAATATTAATTGTGGCGCGGAAGTGGATAGAAACTATGAAAACTCACACAAAAAGCTTGGAAGCGTGAAGACTTAGAGTCTTGATATGTAGGTGTGGCGATAACAAAACATTTGCTCATTACTTAAATTCATAGAAAATTTGCAAACCACTCTACTCTGGCACTCTAGTGCAGGCAAAAGTTCAAAAAGCGCTTTGAGATGTGTCAGCAAAAGTGTAAGCTTCAGAATTGCGTGTTTTACAGATTTGTCGTTCGCTACACTTTCAAGAAACGATGAGAGCTTATAATTATGGAAACTTCTGCTATAATTGTGAATTTGTGCAGAAAAATTAAAAGTTTTCATTACCTGCAGCGCAGCTGAAGTACTAGTGAAAGCTGCTAAAAGCGCTTTGAATTTTTTGTGAGCTAGTGTAAATGCTTCGAATGATTTTTGCGCAATATTTGACAAAAATTTAGATCATTGTGTGAAAGCTTCGTTTAAATATGAAAGCTCCTAGTTTTTCAAAGCTTTATTGTTTTTGGAAATGCTCTGTATAAAGTATAGGCATACAAGTAGGTGGAGTAAATATTTCAAATTTCAACTAAACTAAAATAGCTTTAAGCTTCTCACGTAACTAAACTTCTTTGCGCTTTTTACGCTTTTTTTTCAAGTTTCAAAAATGCGTAAGATTTTTTATATGGAAGAGTTGGTTCGTATAGAAACTGGCAACAAAAACGAAAAAAAAAAATTGTAAAAAAAAATATTTGTGCTGATGTTAGCTTGTATGTTTTAAATAGTAAGCCATTGTTGCTGTTGTTATTGTATTGTTTTTGTTGCTGCTGTTATATAGATTTTCGTTTTACATTACAAATACTACGACACAAACATATAATAAAATTAAAAACTCATAAAAATTATTCCCCTTTGTATTTGTTGTATTAAATATAAGTAACGTACATAGTACCTAACAGTGTTATTGTTGTTGCTGCTGCTGCCACTGCTGCTGCTAAGGTTTCACGAGCATTTAAGCTCACATATACAAATGTAAGTACACAGATACAACAACAACAAAGCATACAAGAACAAAATAAAATATAACCGTTTTTTATGAAACTGCACGCATTTCGTATGAGGTCATTCGCCGTTTTGCATGCCTCCGAAGTTATTTGGGAAAATTTCCAAATGATTTAAAGATCGTAAAACACTTACAAAAATAATATGTGAGCGATACAATGTTTTTCTTTCATGCATATTTACCATATATGCAAGTGCTTTCATGTATGTATTCATATTAGGATGGTACTAAAAAAAAATCAAATTAGTGATTATTCTCCAATATGAGACCCTTTATTGATATATTGGTGTTATGACTTTGAAATTTTATTCGCGATCAGTGTCAATTAAGGTTTACCGAACAGGTATCAAAGTTCAAATTTTCTATGAGCTCCTTAAAACTATTTTGTTTCGTTATTCAATAGGCTAAAATCATGAACACAGTACCCAAGTGTATTTCTTTTTAATTAAAGCACCGAATGGTGACAGTTAAGCGCTGTTACATAAGGCTCAAATTTCAAATATCAAAGCAATTTACGTAAAATGTTTTTTTTTTTCTAAATTTAAGGAGCACCCTAATTTATATATCTGTAATTATACATGTTGTTTAAGGGTTAAAAGTACAGAAATTTCCGAAATCAGATTTAAACAAAAATTTCTACAATTTAGGACCACCCTATTTTTTACATATATGCGATTTTGTGTGTTCAACAAAAGCCAAATTCTAAATATCGCGCAAATATTAAAAAAGATAATTTCCATATTTAATGATCACCCTAACTTTGACTTTTTGCGCACGTACCACGGCATTTAAATTACCAAAAGCCAGCATCAATTCGCCTATTACATATACACCTACACAAATATAAAATGCACACTTGATTGCCTCCATGTATTTCCTTATTTTTCGTTCTTTATCAATAATCGTTGCCTCCGCGACAGTGACACAAAACGGCGAATGCCATTGCAATATTTACCAAATGTGATGTAATGCAAAGTATAAGCGAAAATTTATTTGTGTTAAGTAAACACATGTGTTTTTTTTTTAATTTTAAATGAAAGAAATTAATTTTGTTTATATGTAATTATTTATACAATTTACTATGTAAGTTTGTATGTAATAATTTTAAGTGAATATCTATATATATATATACCTGTACATCTATCTAACTATCATCATAAGATTTATTATGTATTATAACAATATTCTGTGTATAAAAATAACTGTAAATGTCAAATTTTAAGCGAAAATTTTCTAACTAAGTAGTAAACAACACAATTAAGTCCTAATATAATATATCTTGTGTCCCGAACTATTTTTTTTTGTAAAAATCTAAAAAGCCCTTAAAATGTGTGTATACATATATCTGCCACTAATTGAAATGGCCTGATTTTATGTGAAAACTCGGCGTATTTGTATGTGTAAGAGCTAGCAAAGTTGTATTAAAATCAAATTTGTTAAAAGGAAATACGCAGCATTTAAGTCAGCCCATTATAACTGTTACATGGTAGACATATGTATATTGTCTACTGTAACTGTTATATATGCAAATATGAGCGTAGATTATTTTATTGCATGATACATCACAATTTGTTTAATAAAAAAATAGTTATACTGGCAAAATAAATCGTTTACAAATATAGTGAGCGCTTAAAAACTTTATTAAGCGAGCTTTTGATAACTTTCCGAAAGGGAATTCCAATATTGATTAACATCTTTTATGATGTTAAGCAAGTTCAGCAACTTATGGTGATGCTGAACATACCTCTAGCTCAAAAATAAAATAAAGTAAAAGCTTAAATGAAGGCGGAAGCTTTGGAGAAACTGGAAGAGAACGCCTTTAAGAGGTACAATTTAAAACAAAATTAAAGCTTAAATTAAAACATACATCAAGATGAAAGCGTTAAATAATGCCAAAGCTTTATGTGAAAGCTGAGAACAATGTGAGTGCTTTTCAGAATTAAAGTTTGTAATAACACAAAAACTTAATTTAAGGTATAAATCAAGATGAAAGCTTTAAAGCTTTTTGTGAAAGCTGAGAACAAAGTGCAGGTTTAAATAAAAGTGACAGCTTTTTACATTTTGAAGGCTTTAAACCAAATTAAATCGCACATAAAAACGAAATTTAAAATTTTCAAAAAAAAAAAACGTCATTTATGTCAAAATAAAACGTGTAAATGTGAAAGTATTAAAAAACGACCGATTAAGCTTGAAGCTTTCAAAAGGATGAAAAAAATGGCATATAAATATTAAATCTTTCAAAAGGATGAAAACACTAAACAGTTAAAGCTTAGCTCGAAGTGCCAACATTAAACTTAGAAAAGTTTAAAACAAGGAATATGAAAGTGCAAAACACACTGAAAGCTGGAAACAAAGCTAACGTTAGAAACCAGGTGAAAGTTTTGGTAAAATAAAAGCTTGTGCAAAGCGAAAGTTTTCAACGGCACGTCAAGGTGAAAGCTTATGTAAGCTAGAGTTTTTTGATAATTAAGTGTCATATGTCAAAGCGAAAGCGGTTACAAAAGTGAAAGCTTGAATCAAAATCAACTTAAGTAAAGTGAAAGCTTAAATGCTAGCCAAATATAGAAGAAACTTGTTACAAGAAAGCTTGCTTCAAATAAGGAAAAAATGCAATGTACCATGTAAAAAAACTGGAAACGAAACAAAAGCTTCCCAACTGGCGACAGGTTGATGAAAATAATACTACAACAAGCTTAATCAATGCTTAAGGAAAACTATATTACAATTCTTATTCTTTGTACGCATAGAGATGCATTATCTATAGGAAGCGTACAATAATATAAATTTTCAAGAAAGCTTTATAAGATTTGCAGTGAAAGTTGAGATGAAACCTGTATGTTAATCCTTATTTAATAAAACTCCTTCACACGCTATTTTCACATCAGAGATTTATATTTTTGTGCCCATATAAACGTATGTATGTAATAAATTGATTTTTCTACAAGAAGTGAAAGAAAAATATAGTTATCCTTAAAGGGTTATTATACTCACTTGCAAGTTAGAAACAAAACGTTTTTTCTCCCTAAATTTTGTGAAAAGTCATTTTACTTCGTTAAGAAGTAAAAATAATGTACGTTTACAAAATTTTATGTACTTTAAAAATCGGAGATTCTTTTTGAAAAATTTTCGATCGTCTTGATCCTGTAGCCGATCTTAAGCAGGACGAGTTTTCTGCTTGAAATTATCTTTAATTCAGAAAATTCAAAGTCGATCGATCTAGACGTTGCGGAGAAATTTTCCTCACCGACACTGTCGCAACAAAAAACGCAAGATTTTGCAAAATATTTTTTTTAACCTGACTACTTTCTGACTTCAATCATTATGAGAAACTTTCGTCGAAAATTTCAAATTGGTTAATATATTCACCAGATAATATATTAAATTTAATTTCATACAATTTATACAAAAAAACTTCCAATTTTACTTTAGTATGCATATTAGAGAGAAATTGAAGACGTTCGAATAAAAAATGTGAACCACATTAGGTTAAAATTTGATTTTGTGCAATATTTATTTACACATAGTGCTATAAAAGCGCGACCAACTGAGCTTATGCTGCGTTTACACTTACCCGACATCTTTTGTACTTCGACTTTAGACTAACCGTCGTTACAACTTAACTACAAAAGCAGAAATAGCGACACATACGAGTACCTATAGTCAGACATATATACATAGCAATGTGCTTGTGTGTGTGTAAACAGAGCTTAAAATTAATGAAGGCCAACAAATACTAAAACAATTGCTAGTTATTATTATTTACGAATGCATTTTAGCGCATTTGCTACCCAATGCTAACGGTGATTTTCTGCATCACAACAATTTTTTAGTCAGCGAGGAATTTGCAATAAATATATTTTATATTTTTAGTAACAAAATGTAAAAATAAATTAAGAAAAATGTAAAACTGTTAATATCAAATATGCATAGCCATTTATTAAGCTAACAAATAAATAACGGTATAAGCTGTGTAGCTTTAGAAAAAATGTAAAATAAATTATGCAAGGTTGTATAACAACTACAACAACCTTACAATGCAGAATTTATTGAAAATGTTAATGATATTTTTCGCATACCGAATTTAGACTTGGCTTGAAATTTAAAACTTTTCAATTTTAAATATTCGAGTTATGCAAATTATTTTCACTCCGCTTACCACCCACTCTGGTGGTTCTGGCTTTCGAAGTGGAAATATTTTCAATTGTTCGACAGCACTACTTAATAACTTTTTATCCAAACATTTCTATTTTTAATAAATAATCAGAAATCTATATTATATATTTGTATATGTATGTATATGTGTATTTGTGTAAATAAAATATTTTTGTAAGTTTTACTATAAATCACGAACTAACGGCGACGGCATTGCAAACATGTCATTGTGTGTGTATTTGTGCGCCAACCAAGCAATAAATGGGCGAACGCTAATAACGTGTAACACAATATTTACAAAAATGAAAAGAAATAAAATGTATAAGAAATGTTTTTATTTATGAAAACTAAATTCGAACTGGATAAAAATGCTGTTTTATTTAACAAAAGTGGAAAGCAATTTAATATTTGATTACGATATGGCAGCGCTTGAATTTGATAGGCATGAAAAAACCGAAAAGCAGCAAATACTGGTTTTAATAAAGGATAAGCTAGCTTGTTTAATTTCAATTCACGATTTTCTACACACAATTTCACTGCACATTGCAGAAAATATTGAGTTGGCTGGGAATTATAAATATTTTTAATTTTTCTGTAAGTTGCATAAGAAGATGAAAAAACAATAACTTTTACCGAAGTTAGAACACCATACACAAATAAAACAAGCTTACATACAATTACTTGATTATGAGTATGAAAATATTGATTTTTATTCATTCGTTCAAGCGAATCGCGGGCATAACGTCACTACGACTGCGTCTTATGAATCTAAGGCAAAGGTCCATCAGGCGCGTCACATGTTGGGTGAATGGGCTCAAAACGAGAAAAGTGATGTCAATCCACAAGTCATTATTAAGACGCCGTTACATCCTCAAAACGTTACAGTCTGGCATGGTCTTTGCAGAAGGAGTCATTGATCCATATTTCTTCAAAATTACGCCAGCAAAAATGTTACAGTCAGTTGGGAACGCTATAGAGCCATGTTTAAACACCTCATTAAATCGGCAGTTCGCCGAATGGCTGTTCCCCGGTGAAAGTCGGACGACTTTTTCAAAGCTGCGGAAAACACAAAGACCAGCCGATAAGATAGTTATTCACATAAAATTATTTTCACCGACCAGCTCAAACATGGCAAAATAATAAAAAATAAGTATATATACCATATTACTGAGCGTTATTTGATCGATTTGATCAAAGTTGTAAAGAAAGTTAGGCTAAATATAAGGGCACAGACTTTTCTGCCCACGTAGTATGTGGCCAGCAAGAGTAATACTTAGCTATTCCATATGAAATTTTCCACAAAATTAGATGATAATTGCTTAGATATGACTAGTAGTTACCCGTTTCCGTTGTTTAAAATATTTTTAATTTAAGGCTTAGCTTAAAAACATTATTTTGACCACAGCTGTTTGAATGCACTTTTCATCAACATTAAAATATTCTACACATCCTTTATTAATTTTTCCTGGAATTAATTCTGTTTACATGGAAGTAATATTAATAATTATTAACACGACTTTGTTTTATTATTATTCTCAACAAACCCCAAATTACAACGGGAACGATACAGTACAGTGAAATCGATACAGCCTAAAAGTAGGCAATACAAAAAAAAAAGCCAGAAATATTAAAATCTCAAGTAATTTCAAAATTAGCTTGTAAAACTTTAATTGGCTTTTACATTGGCTTCGTGTTTTTTGCCCATACGCCTACATTTACAAGGAGCTTAAATTATTCAGCCGAAATTCTCAATGAAAATTCTACTCTTATGCGCATATTTTACCGTTGTTCCCCTGGCGAACAGTCAGTGTGCGATAATTAAGGTCACTAAACTTTCTAATGGAATATTCGAAGAATTCAAAAATGTTTGAAAAAATGTGTCAAAGTGTGCGTAGGCATATTTTATGCGTGTACATATACATATATGCACCGATATTTTTCTAATTTAAAACTCTTTCAAAAACAAAATGTGTGCACCAACAGTACAGTAAAAAAAATAATATATTCAAACAATTGCAACTTATTTTTGAAAGAAAAAAAAGAAAATATTATTGAGATATACGTATATATAAAGCGAATACCTTGGGGCCAAATAACTCTAGCAGGCCTTAAGCCTATACATACATATATGTATATGTGCGTACGGTTTGCGAAGTAAATAGCTTCTGTTTGGAGAGTCAGGCTGTTGGAGGAAGTGGCTGTGGGGAAAAATCATGATTTATGACTTTTAAATGCCACAGTAAGTGCATTAAAATTCAGGCAACAACCAGAAGAAGGCAAATAGTGAAAGTACGCATGCGTTTACACATATATTTACATAAATACATGCATATACATATATATATACATATGTTGAAGCGCAAATAAATAGCAGATATGAAAACAGAAACACTGTGGGGCGCATAAATTGTAGGAGCAACACCAAGGCACCATCCTTCAAACATCCACACACCCACACGTGAATAAGCGAGCTCTTGATCGCCGAAAGTATGCCAGCGCGCAATTTCGGCGTTTCTCTCACCACGTTTATCGTACTTTGTTTACATTTTCATGTCGAAGATTCGCTCATGGCCACATCCTGAAAATCAGCGAAAGCAACTTTCTTAACATTGCCGGTGGCAGTAGTGGTGAGCACGGTAGCAGGAAAAAATATGCCAATATGATATTTACCAAATAAATAACAATCGAAATGGCCTGAATGAGTTAAAGGGCAGCAAGGTGGGGTGGGGTGGCGGAAGCAAAGTGGAGCGGCCATAACGGAAAACATAAATTCATGTAGATTGACTAAATAAATACGCCAATTTACGTACATATAAAAGAGAGTTTGGGTGTATACCGTGAGTCACAAAAACGAGCTTATTGAGGGGTTATATCCATATATGAATTTAAAAAGGAATGGCATTTTTTTGCATATAATTATAACGAAGGTACATATGTACATACATATATTCGAGTATATTCTCCGAAAATTTGAAGTTGATCCAAAACGTGCTATCCAACATATATATGAGCGATTTTGTAAGAATTTTTTAACTTAGTGTAACCGACTCCCAAACTTTAAACGCGTTTTTCTCGAAACGCTGCTTTCAGAGTCGGTGAGGACATATCTCGGAAACGGCTGCACCGATCGGATTGAAATTTTCACACCACCACCTTAGATATATTTGTCAGATATGTATAACTTTTATTTTTCAATTAAGCTTTACTCGAAAAATATATATTTTACTACTCCTTAATAACTGAGATATTAAAAATTTTAAACTTTTATCCGCATCTAATTAATTGTTCAAAAATTACATATAATTATATAATTGTAAGACACTAGTACTTAGTTCAAGTTTATTCTTCAATTAGAATAGAAAAGATTTGGCAATAATATTCCGTAGGAAATTGTGTGCGGTCTCTTCTGTTCCGGCATCAAGTAAAAATTTCAAAATAGTATGAAAAAAATTTCGAAATTTTAGAACGCGAAAATAATTATGAATTATTAACCAATTCAACATTCAAAACAAGAAACCCCGTTAACTTTGGTTGCACCGAAGCTATAATACCCTATACAAATAAAAAAGATTTCTTACAAAAACTTGATTTTGCTCAGTCATTTGTATAGCAGCTATATGCTATAGTGATCTGATCTAAACAATTTCTTTGGAGATGCCTCGGACAATAAACCGTGTTAAATTTCGTGAAGATAGCTCGTCAATTGAAAAAGTGTTTCATACAAGCAGTTTATTCTTATTTTTCAGTGTATATGACAGCTATATGTTATACTGGCCCAATATCAGCGGTTGCGACAAATGACACGGCTCCTTAGCTAGAAAATGATGCGTGCAAAATTTCAAATTAATCTCTCAAAAATCTATGAAAAGACATGAAATTACTTTTAGATACTTATAAGAATTATAAAATATATCACCACTATTATCATACATTTAGAAAAAATGATATGTTAGAACGTTTGAAATTTCTTCTATTTTACTTTTACTATTTTAGTATTTTACTATTTCTTTTTTTTTTTGTATTTTTATATAAATATTTTTTTCTGCCAATCGCGTTAATGCTTGCTAAGTGTTAATTTCATATTATTCTGTGCACACTTTTGTCACTCACTGTATGACATACACCAGCAGCCATCGAATAGAAGCGGAAACACAGACGCGGCATTTAGTGTGCGCCTATATGTATGCTACGCGCTGAGCATATGCAAATTCATATTCATAAACGAATTTTTCAGCGAAGTCAAATATTCATATGCCGAGTTGCGTTGACGCAATACAATAACGGTATACTATATATAATATTTACACTGCAGAGTAGCTGAAAACACACTGCCCCAAAATGCTACCTAGGAATACATATGAATGTCTCTTTAGCATACATAGCATATATGTAGGCATTTGCTTGTACTCGAAATAAATTACACTTTGTTTCAATCAAAAAATTGTTTGTCAGTTTGCCAAGAATTGAAGTTGACGCTGTCTGCCAACTCTCAAACATTACATTACACCTAATACACACATTTGTATGCATGAGTATGTGTATGTGTGTGCCAGCCTGCTTTATGTAATGCCAACGATTGGTATAAGGTTTTTAGGATACAAATAACATAAATAGCAAATGTTGCTCAACGACCAAACGCTGAAAATATAAAAATCACTCACACTCACAAAATGTGTTTAAATACACACAAAAACACATATGAGTGCTGACACATTTAAATGTGGATATAAATGTAGAACATGCATGTTCCCTTTCAGTGCGGCTAATGTACGGTACATAATGTTCTTAATGTTGCAGATGCCATTAGTGAAAGTGCAACTGTTGCGAAAATAGGTTAAAAAGGATACAACAAAATTGCCGTTGTTTACATAATGTTTACATGTGTGCACATTTCGCATGCTAAATATATTGCAAACATATACATATATACATACACTACTTGGTTAATTTATGTCGGTATGTGCTTTGCATAAATACTTATTTCGCAGCCAAATATTATGTCAAGATGATCATATGTAAGACGCATATTGAGCTTTTTGGTGCAGGAAGGAAAACTTTTTTTTTCAATAATTTTTTAGGGTTTTAGTTCCTTGAGATAACTGATTTCATCTATTTTTGCGGAGATGCTTTATTACAGAGTAGTAACGTTGATTCGAAGGTGGAATTTTGTATTTTTTAAATGTAAGTACTTGAGCTTAAATACATATATTTCACTCTATTTTTTTTACATATTTAGACAAATATTAAGGTGAAGGAGCTGAAAGCACGTTTGGAGAAACTTAGCGCATTTTACAAACTTCTTATCAGAT